TTGACAACCCTTTCTGTAGAGAACTTTTTCCTAATATCCAATCTAAACCTCCCCTGGTGTAACTTGAAGCCATTTCCTCTTGCCCTATCACTTTGTCACCTGGAAAAAGAGACCAACACCCACCTCACCACAACTTCATTTCAGGCAGGTGTGGGGAACTATAAGGTCTCTCCTCAGCCTCCTTTTCTCCAGGCTAAAAAACCCCAGCTCCTCCAGCCACTCCTCCTAAGACTCCTGCTCTAGACCCTTCACGAGCTTCATTGCTCGTCTTTGGAAACACTCCAGCATCTCCATGTCATCACTGCCAGCACTGGCAGCCATGTGGCCTTTGCTGTCCCCTCACCTTCACCAGGATTTGGGGCCAGCCAGCTGCTTTCAGCCTCTGAGTCTCCCCAGCTCGCAGCAGATGGCAGGAGCTGGCCTGGGAGCTGCTGTGGGAGCTCTGCCAACCACTTCCCATGGCATACTTTGGGAACCGCTCCTCTGGACACACTGAAGAGAGCAGGGTAATGCATTTCTCCTGGAAAATAAACATATCTCTAGTGAAAACCTGGTGCACCATCGGGGTTTTTTTTGGTTCTTTAAGTGAAAATTGGGCCTTTTGTCTTGTCAGACCCAAGCCTTTCCTCATATTCGCCATGCCAGCCCATCAGCATTATTCCTCAAGCATAAAGTGAGCCTGGAAAACTTAATCAAGCATACAGAAAGCAACATGGGAAAAAAAAAACCAAAGAGGCAAAGGACATTTGCCTGAGAGTTGCTCTCCTCTCCGACCCTCTCCGACCCTCTCCGACCCTCTCCTTTCTCTTAATTTCTTTTCAGTTCTCTCAGTTTCATGTTCCCACGTGTGGGCTTCCTGCACTCCTGGATTAGGCAAGAGACTTTTCCATGGTTTAAGGTGTGAATATGAAACTCCTGTGCCTACAGCTGGAGGAATAGAAATGACTTCGTGACACAGACAGTTCTGCTCTGTATCTTTACCCCTGGTTTTGACTTAAATTAATGCTGCCTGACACAAGCTAAAAGATAAAAATCTGTCAACTTACAAACAGTGTTGCTAAGAGAGAGTATCATGCTTTGCTGCTACCCAGAGTTTACTTGCTTATGGAGCCTTCCAGTGAAATAGAAATGCCCTTTTACTTTTGTCACAAAATTTTCCAGGTCTTCTTTAGCTGGCAAAAGGATGCCAGATAAGGCAAAGAAGCAAAAATAAGCAGCTTGCAACCATTTTAGCCTTCAGAAAGTGCCTTTAACATCACATCTTTCTTCTTACATGGAATTATTTTGATAAGGCTTTTCTATATGGGCTATGTACCCTTTCCAACTTTAAATCCTTCAATTAAGGGCTACACTGGGAGCTGTGCTGTGCTGTGTGCCAACAGGGAGCAGTAAGAGGGAAGGTATATGAATTCATAGCTCTGCTCAGCCTCCTGGTCCCCATATCTGGCTATAAATAGGAGGGGAGGGGAGGGGATGGGGATGGAGATGGGGATAGGGATAGGAATGGGAATGGGAGAGGATGGGGATGGGAGAGGAGGGGATGGGGATTGGGATTGGGATTGGGATTGGGATTGGGATTGGGATGGGGATGGGGATGGGGATGGGGATTGGGATGGGGATGGAGAAGGAGCCTTTGGTTCTCACGGTGGACTCTGCAGACAGAACTTACCCTTAATTTCCTGCCTACGGGCTTGTCTTCATTCCCCTTTTCCCCCTTGGAAAGTTCAGAAGGAGACCAAGTGAAATGCTTCCCACTGGTTGGCACAAGAGCAGGGCAGTTAGCCCACTGCAGTCTTCCAAGCCCCCTGTAGACCTTGGTGCCTTCCCCCTCACTGCCCCTGGGATGTGCCAAGCACCATTTTACAGGAATCTTGCCTCCAGAAGGGGAAATCTTCTCCAGCCCATCCTAGAGAGCCTCTCCTCCTCTCCTCTCCCACGGGGGACCTGTCGAAGCAAGGTGAGTGTGCCCAGAGCAAAGGCATCTTCGTCTGGCACGGGATGATTAAGGAGCGTGTTTATAAAGTCCAGGCGACAGCTGAAAGAGTTAAGTTACTTGAGTGCTTTGGGATCCTTCAGGATGAAAAATGCTGTATACATGTCGGATTTTATTATTACAATTACAGTCAGATGTTAATCCCCTCACCGGGATTTACTCAGGCAGCAGTGCCAACAGCAGTACATCTCGCTGAGTAATTGCCCCCTTCCTGACTGTTGGGTGTCTCTGCCCTGAGCTGCTTCTTGTTTCTGTGTTTGCTTTAATTCTGACACTTCTGAAAGCACTGAGTTTTCCCACCCAGCAGCGAGCAAAGGCAGAGCACATCCTGCACATCCAGATTGCCTTTGCTTCAAGGCATATGTCGTATGTGCTTTGGGGTCAGAAAACAGATAATGAGAAATTCTTACTGGTAATATTCAGCCTCGGGGGGTAACAATACCCACCTCTACTGCAAATTGTTGAGAGCTAATGCTGGAAGAGCTGGGAAATGGTACAGTTTCATGGCTCTGATTGCACAATGTGTGTGAGCCAAATGAGTGAAGAAAAGCTCCAAGTTCAGCAAACCAAGCTGGGATCACAATAGCAGAAATATACAGCAAGGGAAGAAAGGCTGGATACATTTAAACCCCTGCACAGTGTAAATTACCTGGATGCACTGGGATTGGCTCCCGAGCCACACATAGTTTTGTCTACCCAAAGTCCAGGGGATGCTCTGACTCTATGCAGACTCAGGGCTGGAGGTCCAACCTCTCCATTTTGGAGTTTTGTTTTCTTTTCCTGTCTGAATGCAACATTTGGCATTTCTGGGATGATGAAGAGACAAAAACCTGGGGGAGATGCTCTGTTCATTAGTCTGATGAGTGAAGTCAGCTCTGCACACCCCAGCATGTGCCAGCAGGACACTCTGGGCTGGCCTGTAACTGCAGCCCCGCACTTTGCTTGGTGGGTAAGAAGCACATCACGGTGAGAAACTGGCCCTGCGATCCACCTCGGTCCCTGCCTTGGCCCCAGTGGGTAACTGGTTATCTCATGGCTTTGGGAGGGAGTGACTGGCATGGGCAGGAATGTTCTTACACGCTGTCAGTCTGGAGGAACCAGCTGTGTGTCCAATTTCTGGACATGGTTCAAGTGTGAGCTCAGTGCTGAGCAATGTGGAGGTAAAGGAGGTGAGGAGGGTTTGGTGTTTCACTGTGTTGACACACACCAGACTGCCAGTCTCTGTGCCTCAAAGGTTGTGAGTCCAGCTCTCCTCCAAAAGATGTAGCCCCACACGGCTAAGAAAGAGGTGAAGGAAAAGCCACTGGTTTAACGTGGGTGGTTATCACACCCTGCACCGAGGGATGCAGGGACACTTCCTCTCCAGAGAGAGTGATGCTCCTGGAAGGCTGCAGATGCCCTTGCAGAGAGTGCCGAGATGTTGATGCTGGAGTGTCCCACTCTGGTGTGCTGCCCCGGGGGGCCTGTACCAGGGGCTCTAAAGACATGGTACCCTACTCAACTAAAGCTCTGTTTAAAATTGGAAGGGGGTTTGGCGGCGGGAGGGCTCCTGTGGAGAAGCAGACGTGGTGTGGCAGCTGTGGAAGGCAGAGGCAAAGGCAGAGGCAGAGGCAGAGGCAGAGGCAGAGGCAGAGGCAGAGGCAGAGAGAGGGGTTCGGCTACCCTGTGCGGTGCCCGGGCCCCGGGCTGGTGCAGGCAGGGGACGCCGAGGGCCCGCAGTGCCCCGTTGTTCCGGGGTCACTGCCCCGGGCCCTGCCCGCTGCCGGGATGACGGCGCCCGGTGAGCCCGGGGCCGGGGCCGCAGGTGGGACGCTGCTCCGCGGATGGGGGTGGGCAGCTTCGAGGGGGTGGCGGCAGGACCCGGCTGTCACTCAGCGCGCGGCGAAAGTGACAGCGGGGGCGGGGCGGCCGCGCCGGGCGCGTATTTAACTTGGGCGGCAGCGGCGGCGCGGCAGAACGCGGCGGGCGGGCGGCAGCGGCGGCAGGGGGACCGCGACACCGAGCCCGGCCGAGCGGCAGCGAGCCGAGCCCCGCCGAGCCGAGCCCCGCCGGGCCGGCCTTCAGCGCGCCGAGCCGAGCCGAGCGGGCAGCGCAGGGCACGGAGCGGAGCCGCGGCTGGATGCGCTGAGCGCGGTGGGGACGAGCGGGCCCCCGGAGCACCGGCAGCAGCACCGGCAGCAGCGGCGGCAGCAGCAATGGGTCTCCGGGGCTGCTGAGCGGCGGCCGTGCCCGCCCCTGCCCGCCCCCACCGAGGAGCCGCCAGGGAACCGCGCCGGGAGTCGGGACGCGCCGCCTCGCCGGTGCCGGGGACATCCTCCGCCCCCCCCCGCCCCGCCACGCCGAGGATGCCCCGGGGGCCCGCGGGCCGCCCCCGCCGCTCGCCATGAGGAGGAGCCCGGCCGGGCCGCGGGCGCTGCCGCCACCGGCCGCCGCCGCCTGAGCCCCGCGCCCCGGCCGTGCCCGCGCAGGGGCCGCCCGAGCGCCCCGGCGCCGTGACCCTCCTCCCGCCCCCTCGCCCGGCGCGCCCGGCTATAAAGGAAGGTTTTATTCTCGGGCTCCGGTCTCACGCCAAACCCTGTCACACCGTCTAGACGAGCTGTCGTGGGGCTCGGCCCAGCTGTCACCATGGCGATGGAGACGAGTCCGCTGTGAATTTTGGGGGGGAGCGAGCGAGAGCGGCGGCGGCGGCGGCGGCGGCGGAGGAGGAGGAGGAAGGCTCGGCCGCCGCCGTGCCCTGCCCTGCCCCGCGGGGGAGGCTCGGACCCCCCGGCGCTGCCGGCCGCGGCTGGAGCCGGCCCGGCGGGGAGCCCCGGGAGCCAGCGGCCGCGGGCGCGGGGCGAGCCTCAGATGCGGCTGTCACACAACCCCGGCCGGGCTATTTAAAGTAACGGGCCCCGCCGGACACTGGTGTCTCTGCCTATTTATGAGCCCCCGGGAGCCGGCGGGCGCCGCCGGGCAGCGCTAGGAGCCGAGCCCGCCGGGAGCAGCGCCGGGGCCCGCCCGGAGCATGACGGCGATCCGGGCGCTGCTGCTCTGCCTGTGCCTGGGGCTGCCGGCGGGCGGGCAGCCCTTCCTGCGCCTGCGACCCTCGCCCAGCGACAACCTGCCCGTCAAGGACATCGTGGAGCACCCGGACCCCGAGTACGACCCCAAGGAGCAGGACCTGGACGAGAGGACGCTGAGGAAGAAGCTGGGCAGCCATTTCGACCCCGGCTTCATGGCCGTGGCCGTGCCGGGGCCGGCCAACGCCTCGGGCGCCGCGGCGGCGGCGGGGCGGGGGCGGGCGGCGCTGCCGGCGGAGCTGCGGCGGCTGGAGCTGGGGCCGCCCCGGGGCCCCCGCCTGCGGCTGGGCAAGAAGGCGCGGCGGAAGGTGCTGCAGTGGCTGTGGGCGCACACCCACTGCCCCGTCCTCTACGCCTGGAAGGACCTGGGGGTGCGCTTCTGGCCGCGCTACATCAAGGAGGGCAACTGCCTGGCCGAGAAGTCCTGCTCGCTGCCCGAGGGCATGTTCTGCAAGCCCGTCAAGTCGGTCACCAAGACCTTTCTGCGCTGGCACTGCCAGGGCTGGTCCAGCCAGAAATACTGCACCTGGATCCCCGTGCAGTACCCGCTCATCTCCGAGTGCAAGTGCTCCTGCTAAGCCTCCCCGGCCCCTTGCACTGCCGCCCTCCTCCTCCGGATCACTTTAGGGGGGGAGGTTTTTTGGGTGGGTTTTTTTTGGGGGGGGGGTGGGGTTTTTGGGGTGAGTATTTTTGGGGTGGTTTTGTTTGTTTGTTTGTTTGTTTTTCCCACCCCCCAGCGTGGAGTGGGGAACATGAACCGCTTTTGGGGTTGGGTTTTTTTGTTTGTTTTTTTTGGTTTTTTTTGGTTGTTTGTTTGTTGGGGGTTTTTGTTAATTTTTTTTGTTAGGGTTTTTTTTGTTAATTTCTTTTTGTGTTTGATTTTTATTTTTGGTTGTTTTTTTTTTTTCCCTCGGACTTCTTTTAATGTTATTTTATTCAAAAGGGGAAAAAGCGAACCCAGGAACTGCAGGGCAGGCCAAAGGCACAGTAAAGCACTACAATCAGATGTCTATTTTTATACGTATATAGCCTTCTAACAAAAGGAAAATAAAAAAAAACCTAAAAAAAAAAGAAAAAAAAAGGAAAGAAAAAAAAAGAAAAAAACCTACCAGCCGTGTAAATAGAGAGATTTTAAAGGAAAAGGGGGGGGGGGAAATCGCAGCTGTTTTTTTATTATTATTATTATAATTATTATTGTTATTATTATTATTTTAAAGACATAGGACCACATTTTAAACCCATCCCCACAGAACCCGAGCACTTCCCTGCCGAAGGGGAGAACAGAAATTTCCTGTAAAGATGATTTTATCAAAAGGAGAAAAGAGGCGGGGGGTGTACAAAAAAGAAAAGCAAGAACGGCAACATCCCTGAAGACGGATGTTTCTCTGTGCTGTATTTTATTTTTGTCTTCTTCAGACCTTGTCACTGATGTTTGAACTAATTTGCGAAGCTCTCTAGGGTTTGTTTGTTTGTTTTTTTTTTAAAGTGTATAACAATTAATTAAGGAGGAAATTTTAAAGAAAAGTACAAATCTATGAAAGAGTGGAATTGTTTTGTGTGGGAATACATATAGTCGTGTAGAGATGTTAAAGGAAATTTTCATTGTACAGTCTATTTATTTTTAACGTTTGTGTATAGGAAAAAAAAAAAAAGCTAGAGATTATGCCAGAAACTATTGGAAATGTTTACTTGAATATTCCTTTAAAAACATATCAATGTAAATATGAGCTATCACTGATCAAAACATTTTTAGCAATAAACTCTATCTTTGAAGAAAAACCCCGTGCTGCACCCCAGCTCTCTGGGAGACCAGCGGAGACTCGGATTCTTGCTCGGAGCAGGTGATGAGTAAAGAGCTTTGGCTGGGCCGCGCTGGCGTAAATCGCGAGACACCCCGAAGGTCGGGACAGCTCCACTGGTTTCTGCCTCTCCGGGATCTCGCTCTGGGTTTTCTTTGCGTGTATAACCTGTTGGGGAGAGAAAAAAAGCACAGACGGGAGAGAAATGTCTCGTAAAGCGTAAAAGAGCTGCGATGTCCCGGACTGGAGGTGTCATCTGAAGTCCTTGGGAGATTCCATGCTCTGTGGCTCTTGGATTCGGCTCTCCCGCTGGCAGAGGAAGCGGTCGAGGTTACTGCCCCGGCCATCAAAGCGCCTGACACAGCTTGGCAGCCCCGCGTGTGTCAGAACAAATGTTTTTTCTCGGCTGCCGCCACTAGCGCAGGAGGGAAGGATGGAAACGAGCCCTGCGCCCGGCCCTGCTGCCGCGACGGAGTCCCGGGGCTGGCACCTCTCCCCGCGGCGCCTCCGGGGGTGTGCGGGGTCAGGAGGAAGCGCTGACCCTGCGGTGGCACACGGTGCCCTCAGCTCGTGTGCCGGGGCCGGCGGGACCCCCGCACTCCCACCAGAGCTCGTGGAGCCAGGACAAGGCAGAGCCGGGCCGGCTCGGCACGGGCAGGCTGCCGGCAGCCAGGCTGGGGAGGAGCCCGGCGCTGGTGAGCGGGGGCACTGGCAGCGCGAACCCGCTCCCGACGGAGATCTGTCTGTCTGTCTGTCACAGGGCTTGGAGCGCGGCCCTGACGGGCTGCCAGGCCGATCCCCAGCGTGTTCTGCGTGGGCTGGTGGTGCTGGAGGGGAAGGTCTGGCCGTTCCCTTCGGTGTCTGAAACGCACCCGGCATCCCCGAGGAACAAACCGCTGCCGAAGGCTCTTGCCAGCGAGGAGCCACGCTCTGCCAAGCCTGCTGTGGAGTGCTGGGGAGACCCTGTCCCCTTCCAGCTTGGCATGCAGGAGAGGAAAGCAGCACTGAGCCCATGGGAAGGCACCAGGGCCCTCTGAGGGGTCTAGCTCACATCCCTCCATCATCCTCTGAGGGGACTGAGGTCCAGAGAGCCCCATGGAGCAGGCCCACAGAGCTGGAGGGCACACAGAGATTGAAGTCAAAAGAGGGAGAGAGCTTTGAGAAGGGCATGGTGGGGACAAGGTGTGAGAGGGACAGTGACATCCAGTAGCCCAGGTCCCCGCAGAGCCCTGCGGCCACCCGCTTGGCCCCGCATGAGGAGGCAGGTTGGCCTTTTCACGCATTCAGCGGCGAGGGACTGGGGAAGGGGGGGATGCAGAGGTCAGGGTGAAAAGAAGACCTCGGCAAAAGCAATGTGCAAAACATCAGGGGCATTTGGGAGAGGAAGGGGAAAGCTCATTTTGCAAGAGGAACAACATCTGTGGTGTGGGGGCCGAACATCTGTAGGAGGGAGCATTGGGGGAGGGCATTCTGGGAAAATATTTCTGACATAATCCCAACAGTATCTGGTGTGTTGGGATTTGGTTACAAATGGCCCTCTAACGTCTTTGTGCGTTTTGTTCTGCTGGTTCCAGGGGCACACAGAGACCCCTGCTTTGTGCTAACCTGGGAAATAAACCATTCGCTGGGCTCAATGGCTGAGTTCAGTTGCGTGGGGAAGGTGGGGGTTGGGAACGGGGAAGGCGAGATTTGTGTGAACTCCAGTGAAAACCAGCCTAAAAGCCTCCGTGCCATGTGCTGGAGGGAGGAGGGGGGCTGCTGCCATCTCTGGGGAGAACTCAGTGGTCCCGCTTGAGATGACGGCTCATCTGGAGGAGAAAACACAAGAGACGAGGTGCTGGGTGTAGGCTGGGCCAGGGAGCAGAGGGCAGCCACCACAGGGTGTGTGCCAGCTCACCCGGCCCTGCCTTGCCGATCTGCCGCGGCGCTGGAGCACGGTCACCTCGTGCCAGTGCACGGTCACCTCGTGCCGGGGAGCCTCCCGTGCGGCTGCCCCGAGAGGCGATGAGTCGGACGTGTGACAGCTGGGCCGTGGGCATGATGGCTCGCCTGTCTGCCGAGCCTCAAAGGAGAGAAAGACAAAGGGGAACAAGCCTGGTTCTTTGGTGTGGTTATTGCATTGTCTCCCCAAAGCTGCTTGTGATTAAGGGACGAGCTGCAGGGGGAAAGGGGCAGAACAGGCAGAACCGGCAGAACCCCAAGAGGTGGTGGGTGCCAGCTTCTGAAAACATGGGCCTTTCCCCTTGAGCTCCAGAGTGGTGGACTGGGAAAAGGGCTGGAGCACCAAGGGTGGGTGCCATCCTCTAACTTGGGTTCTGCTTGTCATTACGTTGTTAGGAGACATGCATGGCCACGGCCACGCACTGACAGGGTGTGCACACCCCTCCTGGGCACCCTCTGTCAGCAGTGTTTGCGGGAGGACCATGTCCATGCCCTGTGAAGCCGCAGCGAGCTTTGAAGTCTCCCTTCTCCACACTGAGTCTCCAGGCTCAAGCAGAAGGTGGTTAACTGGAGGATCAGCTCTTTAACCCCTTCTTCCTTCAGGCAGGGCAGAGCACAGATGGACTCGATGGCTGTCCCATGTCTTGCAGGCACATGTCCACTAGCATGATGGGAAAGCAAAGACAACTTTCCTCTCTACAGCAAGTGCTGGCCAGAGCTCACCTGCTCCAACACCACATGCTGTGCTGCGGCCGCTCCCTTGGCTGGATCACAGCTGGATCTCTTCCTTACAGTCCCTACAAAGCCCAGCTGGAGCAGAGCCCCTCTCTCGGGTCTGCAGAGGTCTCCATATCTTCCTTCTGTGTGTCAAGGTCCTTCTGTGACTTGGTGAACTGCTTTCTTATGCATGACTCCAGATTTAGATGACCCTGTTTGTCTTGGGAGGGAGAATGAACTCAAGATAGCTTCTGACATTTGACTCAGTGGGATGGAGGCACTTTTCCACTCCTCTTTCACATCTCAGTTTGGTTTCAACACCAGCAGCAGGTTAACTTTTTTGTCTCCATTGGCAAAGGGTATTTCATCCCCATTTTCCCATCCTGCCTTTTCCCATTTAGTTCAGGTACTCCTCAGTTAAGGCTGGTCTCCAGGAATGCAGTTTCTGTCGGCACACTGGCTCTGCCGGGGTGACACAGATTCACAGGGCCAGAGCTTGCAGATGTCTAATGGCAGCTCTTGAGATATCTGACTCAGGCCTGGGCGATGACCTAAGCCCATCACTCATCATTCCTAGAAAGGCAGATGAATGGACAGGAGGCAGAAATTGGCCTCCTCAAACTTTAAAGCCCAGGCTAAACTGGGACTTTTCGCAACATGCAAAATTGTGCTCATCTCCTCCTCCGGCCCGAGCGTTTGGTGTCACTCTGTCTTTGCAGCCTGTCACGGCCACCAGGAGCTACCAGGGAAAGCCATTCTCTCTGCACACCCTGCGTGTCCACAAGCAGGTCCCTGGTGAGCCCGTCCTGCTGACAGCTGAGCTGGACCCACTTCCTCAGGCACCCCCAGCTCCTCTTTCATCACCACAATGCAAACCCTGCCACACCACTGAGGTTAATAGTGCTGGCACAGGCCAGGGTGCACTCAGTGATCTCACAAGTCTTTTCCAACCTAAATGATCTGTGATGACCATAGACAAGCCCCATGGGGTGGGCAGAGGTGGGCTCTTGTCTCACTGTCTCCTCAGGGTTGCCAGGTACAAGGGTGGAGGTTCTGCTTCCTCTGTGCAAGATGCACCTCAGGCTGCCTTTCCACTCCTTTGCAGTTCTCCTTAGCTGTTTCCATGGATAGCAAACCCAGCTACATGTCCAGTTGCTGCTCAGCAGAGCAGAACCCTGACCCCTCGCCATGGGGGAACAGTACCAAGTACTCACTGTCACTCCAGAGGTGTCAGACAGGCTGCTGGTTCAACTGCACAACCCGTGCATGAGCCTCCCTTCCCCCTCTGTGATTAAAACCAAACATGAACAGCAGCACCATCCCAGGGACATGGCTGCTCTTCGCGTTAGCTGTTTGGTATTCTGCCTAAAAATGTCAGACACCCCATCAAGGAGAAAAGACCATGTCATGTGGCGCTGGGAGCCCAGAGAGGCAGATCCACGAGGAACAAATCCTGAGGAGCTGGGAGGCAGTGCCTGTGAGCTAGCCATTGGTTAAAATGGCACTTTCAGGTGGATGGTGAATGAACCCATTCACAAAAAAGCACAGCCTGTTTGCAAACAGCAGAACTGTCTACATGGTTGGTTTTTTTTCATTGGATGAGTCTGACCCAAACCCCGAAGCAGATGTGTGGGATGTGGCTGCACAGCTGTGTCCAAGCCCAGCATAGGTGCAGTGAATTTTAGAGGACTGATTCCACCTCTCTTTTTGTAGGCCCCACCATTCCTCCCAGGAAATTTCAATGCTCTGCCCAAAGAACCTTGGCATCCTGCCAGGCTCCCTGGAGTGTGACACAGACCACTGCGGGCCCATAGACCACTGCTGGGGTATGATAGGAGAACCTGCTCTCCACCATCACAGAGATGTCCTAAAAAGGGACAGGAGCCCTCACAGACGCCCATGGTCCCAGAGATATGACAGAGCACATGATGGGAAAAGCTTCTCCTTGAATCTGGAAGGTGGGAGTGAAGGGTATCCAGATATGTGACATGGTTGCTCATAGTGGACCCGACTAGGACATCCATGTCCTGTGCCTTGTCACCTGTGAACATGGTCCACAGAAACCAGTTATCTCCCTATGCTGGAGGAGAGCAACGTGCCCAGTGAGCTAGGCTCACTGCTCCCCACTTTAGGTAAGCTCCCAGGATGGCGATTCCACATGCTGAGCAGCAGCATTCCCAGTGCTCCCTGTAGCTCCTCTGTCTCATCATTGGCTGCTTTGGAGGCAGCCTTTGGGGAGGTAGCAGGAGGCAGAGTGGAGCAGCAGGAATGCTGAGAAAGGAAGTAAAGGCTGCATCTTGGGTGGCAGGGCAGGACAGCCTT